GGGGAGTGAGTGCCCCACGGGGCTCTTTTCAAATTAAATTGTTAAGAATGACGTTGGCTCCAGGAGTTTTATTCAGAGGGTAGAAAAGAAGGTGGAAACTCTGAGTCTCAGTATGTCACCCCCCAGCCACCCACCCACCCGGTCCCCGAATGGATTCTGAAGCTCTCAGCGTGGCCTGCCACTGCGGGAGCCGGAGGAAAGACCGCACCTGTCGTTTCCTCTCTCTCTCAAGCTCTCCCTCTCCCGCTCCCTCTTTCTCTCCCCTTGGACCGAATCGCCCCCGCCCCTACCTGCACCCCACGCGGTTCGTTGAACCATCTCAGGAGTCCCTTATACATTCCACACAACGACTGCAGCGTTCCACTTGACTTCATCTCAGCATTAGGCGACTAACATCAGAATAGGCTGGCCAGGGAGTTTCTTGCTGGTCTTAATATAATCGGAATGCACCAGCACTGTTTGTTCCCAAAGGCCGGAGAGGGAAAATGTTTCGACTTGGCGCTGAAGGTCAACCGATCTTCACAACTTGATTTATAAGATCGCTTTTAAGCTCTCCTCAACCCAGTTTCACTGAGAGTTCAGTCGTGAGAGGAAATAGCTTTTGAGATGAATTTTCATCACATTAAACGCACGACTCCTCACTCTCAACTGTCTTTGAATGTCCAAAGGCGGAATGGAAGCTCCTAAGTGAATTTCTAAAGGTCTAGGGGCCCAGGGAAGCCCTAACCCCCCTCCCCTGCACTTCTTGCACCCTAACATCCTGGAATGGGGAGAAACTCTGGGATCTGTGGCTACAGAACCGAGAGGACCTTAACAAGTTATGGTTGTTGAAAGGGGGAGGGGGGATGGAGGAGAGAAATGGAAAGGAGAAAAAAAAAATAACATTTGTGTTCATTTACACATTTCCTGTGCGGAACAAAAAAGTCCCACCATCAGCAAAAGAAGTCTCTTCCTCCAAAATAGCAGCCAAAGAGGGAAAATTAGAATATGCATAAATTCCTTCATTTTCATTCGCACAGAGCATGATTTCCGGCAGATTTGTATTTAAACTGCTCGATTAATCCCAATTTCTGAACAGCATTTTACTTAGCATCTTCCCAAAACTCACCTAGAGAGTACTGCTCTCCTCCCACCACCCCGTTTTGAATCCTCCCTCTTCCCTGTTCTCCAACTGTCAATGAGAATTTCATTGATAAGACTGTACCTTTATTTTTCCTGTCTGTTGTTTTCTTTTCAGAACTGGATTGGTGCATTGGACTACACTTTAATACAAACTGGCTGCTGTCTGTGAGCCATAACTGCAGATGAGAACCTAGTGGAAAGGATATGTTTTTGAAGTGTGTACCTGAAAGAGACTAGACGTGATAGGACCAATAGACTTTTGCAGCTTCTCTCAGGGCATGGAATCCTTTCCTGTTCTACACAGGTCATATCCTTTCACCATTAGCAATAGTCAGGATGCTTGAACATGTCCTCCCCCAAACCTCCCTCTCTTGTTTCTCTCCATTTATAAGGAGCATGATAGACAATCACAACCCTCTTCAAAGGAATATTACTCTTCATAAATATTCAACGTGTGTCAGTCCATTAAATCCCCCCACAGCCCATTTCTAAAATATTTGCTTTGCCACTGGTGCAACAGATCTGACTGTATCTGCCTTGAAAAGTTCTTTGTTGGGGGGGAAAAAAAACTGTTAGCATCATTTGAAACCATTCCTTTCAAAATATCATCAGTTGACTTGGGCTTACCTCTCCTATCTTCGAAACTGTATATATTTCTTTTAATAGTAGGATGTTAATGTTTAAAGGAGGAAATGACTACATCTTGGTTTATCGAAAACCTATATAGATCGTAATTCCATTCATCCCTAAATTCCTTATTCTTGTACACTCCTAGACAGAAAGAAACCTTTATTTGCTTCTTAATACAGTCTAAGCAGAATGCAGTGGTTCTGGCTTTCCTTCATGGTTTACAGATCATAAATAAAACCCAACTATTGGTGGTCAAGAAGTTATAAATGCTAATAGTTGTTTAGTGCTTAGTTTTTATAAAAAATGAACATACATGTTTGAACTACACGCAACATGGTTATATAACGTATATATATATAAATGTATATGCATTTAAATATCTGGTTTATGTTGGTTAAAGAGTTTTCAAGATACCGGAATGTGGAAGCCTATTAATTTTGTTAAATAAGTGCATAAAGTGAGTGCATGCAAATGTCTGCATGACTTTTACCACTCTGTAAAATAACTGCTTTTATTGTATTTTTACTTTCAGATATTCCCATTATAAAAGTATTAACTTAGTTTCTTTTAGTTAGGCATGTCTCCAATGACTCAGAGGCTCTCAGTTATATACAGGGAAAACCAAAGTGTTTGAAAATAAATTCTTAAAAGCCATACTTTGGGGATGTATACAACAGGATTGAGGGCCTTTTCACTGAAATATTGATTTCTTTTAATTTTCTTACTGAAGCAAATAACACTGGTCTCTGAATCACAGGAAAAATTTAAATAAAAATCCCAGTAACTGAGACTATTTTCCTTAAAATATGACTTGAATTAGAATTGGATTTTCTATGGAAAACTCCAGTTTGATTTCAAATTGCAGAGCTGTACTTCCGGAAGAGTTGGAGTGAACTTAGCAGTTATTGGTTTTGATGAGTGCACGGAGAAAGCCTGGGGTACCACTGAAGAGCAGAGCGATACACAGCCAAAGTCGCCTTACTCCCGGTGCAGAGTAAGAGTCACCCCAGTGAATTTATCCCTAGAAATGAAAGCCCCTCCTTCATTGCCGATTTTTTCGTGACACAGTATTCTCGTGACCCGGAATATTTTCGTACTTTTTAAAATGACAAGACCAGACAGACACGGAAAAGGATTGTTCAGCCTCCCTGCTGTGAAGGGTGAGGAGATAGATGCACACGGTACTACCAGCAGGGAAGCCGGCCCTTCTTTGCTGTCCCCTCCCTTTCTTCAACTACCGTTTGGGTTTAGTTATGAACTGTGCATATACGTGAGGTTGAAGACAGTAACTGAAGAAAAAAAGTTTCCTAGAGGACAAAACTGGCGATTGACAGTTATGCTTTTCTTTTGTAACGTGTTTTTTTTTTTTTTTTTTTTTTAACAAGGCATGCAGATCTTGTTCTCTCCTACATTTTCAGGGCTACGTTAATTTGCAGGGAAACAGAACAAAGCAAAACCATTGAACCACCGCCCTTCCTTGCTCCCAAACTGTTCTTCTGTAACTGAGATCTGTTTCCATTTGGCCTTAGCTGCTGGGCTGCTGTGGAATTTCTCTCTCAGTCTCTGCTTTCCTGTCCTATAACCCACCCTTCATCTCCTAACCAGCTTTCTTTCCCCTCCACGAATGAAGGCATTTATCAAACAACCTGCTTTAACCCCAACATCTACCTGACAAACACTAAGTCTCATTCCCTCCACACCCGATTTTTTTTTTTCCTTTCATTTCCTTTTTCTTGAGGCTGGGGGAGCAACTGGGACTTAGGAGACAGGGAGAACATTTGGCTGAGAGGAGAGTTAGATTCCTGCAGGTACAAACTCACTGGCAGATTCTTTACAGCCTAGACTCAGGACCTGGTGGTAGCTGTTCTTGCCCGTTGAACGGTGAACCTTGGCAGGTTTACAGTTGGCAAAAGCACCTGTACCTACCTCCTCCGTGGGAGACAGGCTTAGTTTACTAGCCCGAGAACCACTGGTTACTAAGGTCTTCAACCTGGTCTCCTTTCACTTCTACTCCCTTCACTTTATTGTCCCCTTTCTGTCCCTTCAGCCTCAAGGAGTCAAAAGAGTTCATCAGGGGGGACCTAATTCCTAATTTTTGTGTCTCGCCCTTTGGGCTGAGTTCCTCAGGGCCAGTGTTCTCCTTAGACTCAGTTACTTTGTCCTTCTCAAACTCCTCAGCTCTGTAAACATGATTCCCCAATATGACAACTTGCCCATTTATCAGCTTAACTCCAGCCTGGAGGCACCAGGTCTTTCTACCCAAGAATCCCTTCACACGTCTGCCTCTGTTCCCAGTCTCCATCCCCGACTGATTTACTTGGGAATGGTGTCCAAGGGAGACCTGCCTATAGGAACGAGGAGGAATGGGTACGAAAGTACTTAGAGCTATTAAAAAGACCTACCATATTAGACCCAGGGAGTCTTTATTAGAATACTTGAGTTGGGCCGGAATGGATCGTCCATCTAACCAGTGAAACAAGAAATCAGAGGAATGCCCGACTGCAGCCATGAAACACATTTCAGACTGAAATGGATTCCATCTTCATCCTGTCGACCAGAGAGATTATTTTAAAATTGGTTCTGCTATTATTGTTTGCCTTATTATTATTAACATTTTATTTCTGTCATTATTGCTGCAGTGTATGTTATTTTATTTTTGTTGTTGTTGCAGCTATTATACTATTCAACAGAAGTTTAGAAAGATTAGTCAGATTAATTAGTTTATTGGTAATTTAAAGCTGAAAACTGGTAATTAAGCCAAAAAACTAAAAATGATCAGGGATGATTCATAGCAATGTAGGATTTGGGAGGAAGAGAAGCTAAATTTTGGATATAAAATTTGGCAGCTGTGAAATAAACAGGACTTGGGGATCAGAAATATGATAATTGAAATATTCTTAGTCACTCAACCTCTCCCCCCTCCTCCAAATCCAGCTCCGATCATTCTGTGATTTGCTTGATAGAGGAAAAATACTATATTTGCTTTTGTTGACAGAGAACAAAGACCCCATGCTTATTCTTCATGTGATTTGCATTTGCACGTGGATTTCCTTGCTGAGGACCATCCAAATGCCTAAGCTCACTCCCCTCCAAGTTTGCCTCTCTTTGCTCTTGTTATGCACCTCACTGAAGAGGGTGCATCATATAAGACAGGTATACAATTTCAGCCCTCTCCACAGACAGATTCCATGGAATATAAATTCAATAATGCAATTCTCTCCACAACAAGCTCTCTGCTCTCTTTCAAATATAATTAATGTTTTGATAGTGTAGTTCTTTAACTACATATATACACACAAAAACAGACGCACCCTCTAGCTTCACTGTTTGTGCATTTAAAACAGAAATGGATGTGGCTCTTTCAGTGACTCCTAAAATTCCTCAACTCAGTCAGCCCACAGAGAAGAAATCTGTTTAGGTAATAACTGCACAGTCTGTTGTGTGCCCAGAAATATTTAAAACAATAAAAAATGCAAGCCCCTAGTTTTTGATAGTCATTTTTTGTCAAATTTCCTAGAAAATAAAGGATATTCTGAATTGATTTTCGGAAACAGACATTCACTAGATAACAGTCAAAATCAACAAAAACACTGTCCTAAACTACTGGTTGTCTTTCCCAAGTTTTGATGATGGAAATACCTTCTATTTTATCCAACTGGTGTGAAATTAACCCAGGTATATAAAAACTAGCAACTATAATGGACAGAACTACAATAACTTCTATAGAAATTGCTTACTCCATCCAACACCGCAGGTACATGTTTTAGGCAGATTCTTCCATTTAATTGCCGTCAGTTGTATATTAACATATTCACATGTGAAGTAGGTGGTCAGAAAGGAAGGTATGTAGATGACAACATGACTAGCGGGAGTTAAGTGAGCGGGTGCTGCTGAATTTCCATCCTCAAGCGTACCATATCCCTAACATTTCATTTCTACAAGCCGATTACAATTCTGAGGACACATAACCTTTCAGACTGTAGGACATGATATATTTGCAGTCTTTAATAAGGAAGAATACATATGCTATAATACTTAATCCAATGAAAATACAAACCTTAATCTTCCTATATTGTTACCGAGTTAAAGAAGCTGGTTATTTGGAACTAATACACTGATTTCCAAGGCCATCTTGGCCATTTTGTTTGACTCCTGGATGTATACCAGGGGCTGTCAGGGGAAGCATTTTACACATTTCTCTTCACAAAATTTTTAGAGAGGATAGGTAAAAGGGATTTCTTTCACATCTTTTGAGATTTAGCTTTTGTACTCTTCACGTAGTATTGGGGGTTTGGAATTGTGAAAGAAGATAAAAGAATGAACAAGGAAAGGAGAACGTGTGGCTGATTCCAAGTAGTTCTTTTAACTGGAAGGGAAAGAAACAAAAATATTTCCCCAGTGCAGTGGTGCAAAGAAAGGGAAGAGTGTGTGATCCCTCAAGAGCTCACTTGTGCTTTTTGTTATTGTTTTAGATGGTGGCCCATCAGGGTTCCTTTCCCATTACTTTCCTCCAAACTGTTTTCCTTGAGAGCATAAATGTGGAAACTACTTATCCCTTCATTCTCGCACAGGCCAATATATAAACAGCAAACATTTTAGTTAAATATTCAATAGAAAAAGTTTTCACAGGTTCAGAGATTCAGTCTTAGTACAGACCCAAATTACCAATCCCACTTGGTTAGCTAACAGTTAATTTGAAATATGCTTGTAGTGAGCTATAAAGTTTTTTTATATATGTAAGGTTTTTTACAGTATTGATCAGCAATGACACGTGAGCTATCAAAAAGAAATCCTCCCTCAGACTTTTTATATTTGTTCTGATTTCTTCTTCCTTTCCCCTTTTGGTTTGTTTTTGAAGCAATGACAGGACTGCTTCTCTGACTCTCAAATGAGGTTTCCTTTGGCTCAGATTAATATTAAAGAAGATCACATACACGGTTGGAAAATATTGTTATTTTTCTTTAATGGGGAAAATTGGACTCCCGCGTGTCAGATCTGTGGTTTTCCGAAGGGCAGTGGAAATGGTACTGACATCACTTTGCACTTTAACAATCGGATTTGGTCAGGGTACAAGTTGTTTGTTTAACCCGACAGCTCGGTGCACTCCGTCGCACGCTTTGCACACTCATTAAAACGATTATTCACGACCTGTCGAGTGTTTTCGGGTTCATTCACAGGAAAGGCTTGGAGCAAGCGAGAGCAATTCAAGTCAACACTGTCCACTACCCCGTGCACGTGAGGACGAGCTGGTGCGTGCGTAAAAAGACGGAGGGAGGGGTGGGTGAGCACGCCTTAGCTATAAGTCCTGTTCATCCGATGCTCTGGAATCTCAATCTCGAAAGAATGCCAAGAGTGCTTGGTCTTAAAAAGGCTATGTCGCCGTGTTAACTTCAAGGGCTTGGCACAGGACAGAAACATAAAATAAACCAAATAAACAAACTCAAATCTCTCTTTCCACTCCTCCTTTCAACCTTCTGCAAAGCTTGAGGTCCCCAGGCTCGCCCACCTTCTGCCTGCAGCCGCTGGACTGCCAGGCTCCACCTCTCACATCGCGGAAGCTACAGATAAGTAGTTTCAGGAAAATTCGCCAGGGTGAAGAGATTAAGTCCCTTTCCATCTCCCAAGGCCCTTTCGTTCTCAAGAAAGAACTCGGTTACTTTTACTCTCTATATTCCTCTCAAATACTGGAGGGGGTGGCAGGAGTGGAGGGTGCAAGAAACGAATAATATGACTGTCAACCGTATTTGGTAGATATATTCCAAATTACTAGGAAAAGAAGACTGGTTGTCCAAATTGCAAGCAAAATCCTATAAAATGAGGAGTAAATAGCCCTGGATAAATAAGGCTCCTCCCCCCCCCCCCCAGTTTCCAAGTCATCTTTCAACATTTTGTGTTGATGAGAATAAGAACAAACACGAATGCATCTCAATCTCCCACAATTGTCTTGTACCTACAAAAGACACACCCCACCCGTGATCTTTAGTTGTTGCATTTGCACAAATGAGACGTGATATATAACAATCACATGTGAGCTATTAGTTCAAGAGAAATGCCTATATTCCTAAGGTATAATCACACATATACACTAAATGATAGAATATATGAGTGTATATATGCATTTAATATATACCGAAGAACTCTGGAATATCATGAGTAAGCCCCTCCAATAACTTAAAGTTAATAGATATTTTTAAACAATATCATTTCTTTATTTAAATCCTGCTGCTCCTTGATTTTTCATCTACATCCTTAGTAAACCCAGCGGCCACCTTATTGTTATAAGAAAAACCGAGTCGTGCCAACAGAAGAAAGACGAGGCTCATTCATCGGTTTCACTCTATCATATCTGACATCATAAAATCATCTGTTTTTCCATTTTACTGGAAGATATCAATACAATATGTGAAGAGGGGAGGAGAATGGACGTGTTCTGGTAGCGTGAGGTTTTAATCAGAAACAGGTTTCTCATCGCTAAAAAGCAAGTACGCATAAGAAATTTTGTAAACTCTTTGGGTTGCCATAATTCACTATGAAGTTTGCTTAAAATCGATCTGTCAAATGTGTTTCCTAGGTAAGCTGTTTCATTAAAACCAACCTGCAAAAATAATCAAGAGGCAGATGCTGAAATATGTAGGTAAATAACTGAAAATCTCTGCATAAATAAACACAAATCAATGCAGTCATAGACAACACTATCGATGTACGAATGATCGATTTTGGCCTTCCAACCTGCAATCAGAGCTTGCAACGTATAATTAAAAGTAAAATTCTCAACTCTACTACTCTTACTATTGCTACTACTATTACTACTCCTGGAAAAAAAAATAAATAAATAAATAAACAAGTCCTGCTGCCAGTTCTATCAGATTCTACTTTATTCCATCTAGAGTACGAGTATTTCTGAAGGTGTGGAAGAAGTACTCCACTTTTTCTAAGAAGGCTCGGTCACACTTTAAAACTACATTATTAATGATAAAAGTATCGAATAATAAAATTACTTCCTTGTTCTTGCTCTGCATTTTTCAACCTTTATAATAGCTTCTTGTTATTCATTCAGCACATTTTAATAGGCAAAACACAGTAGTGCTTATTATTTTACAAGTGCTTATTTTTCCAATTACTGTGATACTTTTGGGTTTAAAGATTCTTTGGGCCTTTTGTTAAAACAAATAAGAAAAATTTAATTTCCTCAATATACTCTGAGGCTCTCACACCTATGCCTGTATATATAAGCAATCTGAAACAAGAAAGGGGAAAAAGCGTCTGCGTTATTCCAAAATTGTTTCATACAATGATTGCAAAACAGTGTCTGACTCAAAGAAATAAATATGCCTTGGATTTCTAGAAATTCACATCTAGAATGGCTCAGATTTTGCTTAACGCTAAATTTCCTTTTTGAGACTATTTATCCTTGGAGGGCAGAATTCATTTAGATTAGCAAGAACCAGTGTATGATGATTTTGAGTATTTAGGTTCTACAGAGTAATGAAAATACGGCGTTCATATTTTTCTCTTAATCAACAAAGATGCTTATTTACATTCATTCTTGAATTAGTGTTGCCCTTCTAGAGCACAGGCCTTTAAAAGAATTTCTTAGTTATGAAATTCAGCTTCTTTGAAAGTGATTTTTCTTACATAATAGCACCAAAATATGGGTGTTGATTATATTACTATGTGATCAAGGATTCTCTGACTCCTCTCCTTCCCATCCAGGGGCAACCAGACCCAAATGGAAAATATCATCAGTTATTGTTTAGGGCTAATTTAACAGATAATTTAACTTCAAACAACAATGATCAGGTCATTAAATTTCAGAGCAGTGAGAAAATGAAACGGCTGAGAAACAACTCTCTCTAACTCCACTACAGTTTTTGGTCCTTCTGCCCAATCAATGAAATCAACAACGTCTTGCCATACGGACTGACGGACTGACCGGACGTGGAGTAAGATAGGTTTGCACCTTAAACCTATTCTGATTGAAAGAATGACACACTAAGGGGAGCAGAACAGGGGGCGGGGGGGCGGAAATAAAACTGAAGAAGACAACCCCAATTCAGGGAGTGCTAGCCCTGTAGGAAAATTCAACCTAAGGCGAAAATGAGTACCCAAACACGTCTGGCAACGGAACACTTTCTTTCATTCGGATACAAATCTCCAAATCTCGCAATGTGCAAAGTGCTTTCCTCCCGTGCAGCTTTTCTGCGAGGCCAAAGACCGGGGAGGGGACTGTAGGTGTTAAGCAACAGACCCCCCCAAAGGTCGTGGGACGTTTTAGCTCCCCTCCCACCCCCGCAGCCACAATTTTGAGAGTTATTTGATATTATTTTAAATGCCTTTTCTGATCACAACAGTTTCGAGATTTCTGCCTACCTCAAGTTTTGACAGAGGGCCAGGTGAGGATGGCGTTAAAGCACCGAAATTGAGTCTTATGGGGCTTGGGGGGCAGTCGGAAGTGGACGAGCTCTATTCTGCCTGTCCTTTTCTTCCCGTCCTCTTTCCAAGGCTGAAGATCACCGCCAGAGAATCTTCCGCACACTTGGGATGCCCTCTGTCCACCCAAACCCCTGCCTCCCTCTCTCCAACCCAGGACCACCCTTAGTGTTACGGAAACTCCTATCCCCAGGCTAGCTCTTTTCCTTTAAGAACCCTTCACCTTGGACCGCAGGCTTGGACAGAAGGGAAAATGGGGTAGAAAGCGAAATAGAAGAGGAGTAGGGAGTGGAGAAGAGAAAAGATGTCTATTACAAAGAAAACAGTTTTATCAACCAGCAGATACGTGCTGAGATCTGAAACCGCACCAGGTAAACAAAAAGAAACAACTTTGAGGGGGAAAGGGGGTGGGGAGGGAGGGACAAGAATAAAGAGAGAAAAGGTGGGGAAGCGCGCCAGCCAAGGCTGTGGAGTCGATTTCCCTGGCACCAGCCTGTGTGAGCTAACCAGACTCCCAGCTCTCCTTGTCCTGGGCAAGAGCGCCCTCACCTTGTTGCTCCCCGCTCAGCGTCGGGCTTCCCCTCCGCCGGAATCGCGGCCGCCGCCACTCCCCGAAGCGCCTCTCCTCCCCGGCTACCGGCCGCCAGCGCCGCCCGGACTCAGCAGCCTGGAGCGCTTTGCTTCTCGATTCCAAAGCCCGAGACGACCACGCCGCTGGGTCCCTGCCGCGACTGCTTCTACTCCCGCCACCGCGCCCTTCTCCGACTTCAGCCGGGGGTCCCGGAGGCGCGGGGAAGGCAAGTAGGAAGCCGCGGCCAGGGCCCCGGATTCGCGGCGAAGGAAGCCAACCTGTGTCTGGCGCGCTCGCAGGCACTCTCGGGACAGCCGGGCTCTCGAGCTTACGCGGCCGTCTCCTAAGTGTGCATTAAGAATCAATTATTTGCCTGAGATTCCCAAAGCCGGGAACTGGGATATTCCCAGCAGGGACCAAGTCAAGCCCAGAACGGTGCTCTTTTCCTTCGTCCTTCGAACGGGCGGAGGGGAAGCCTCCCACCCCCGGCCCGCCGCTCAGTACCTGAAGCAGCTCCGCTAAATCCCGCGGGGACCCTCGCCTGACCCAGGCCAAGGAGCTGGGGGCGGAGGGCCAGATCTGGGAGAGCTTGGCAAAGTTAGTGTGAAAATAGGGGGAGGAGGGGCGATCTACCAAAAAAAACAAGGGGAAGGGGGTGGAGAAGAAGAAGAGGAAGAAAAGAAAAAAGAACTTTAGAATTAGGCAAGTCCTTGGCTTTGGAGCAAAGAGCTTTGTCTCAAATAGGGAGAACAAATAACCTAGGAGTTTGAACGTTAAGAAAGGTCCGTTAGGGTATTCTCGAAGCTGCGGCAAGACTCAGAAATCCTATCTCCACGATTTGAACAGTTACTCTGCACTTTGGGACCGATTTCAGGCTCCCACTACCCCTCCCCTCCCTATAAATTCGTCTCGTTTTCTCTTCATCCCTCTTTGCCACGTCTTCATCCTCTTTACTTAGGGATCCTTGGTGACTTTCTGCCGACGTGGAAAAACCATGCATTCTCTCAGCTACTTCTTCTGTTGATAGCGCGCCCGCTAAAGAAATTTTTTCCAAGAAAAGAGGAGGAGCACTTTAGCCCCCGACCTCAAAGTCGCGGTTTAAGCGTTAGTCAAAAGCAGTCTGGCATAGCTCTCCTCCCTCCGAAAAGCACTTGCACTTACCAATCTTGGGGTAAGAGCGTCCCAGTCCTTAAATCTTTTTCTTCAGCATCCTTCGGCCAACACCAGGCAGTCTTAGGTTAAGGGGGAAAAAAAAAAAATAGAAATCGGAAGGGAGAAAAGAGACTCAAACATAGCAATACATCATATATTCCCCGGAACCACCTTGGCCTACATCCTCAGGACAAGGTCTGGGCGAACTGACCGCTGGAGTGGGGAAAAGGTCGGTTTGGGGGCCAAAAACTAAGAGGTGGATTATTTCAACTGCTGGTGGTTGGGGGGAGGGGAGGCCCTAGAGGGAGGGAAGGGAAAGGGGGATGATTGGAATGAGAACACGCAAAAGAAAAACACGGAACAGAAAATCTAGAATGAAAGCGCCTTTGAACTCTTACAGGTAGGTAGTTCTTAGGAAGAGTGCAGACGTGTGTACGCGCGAAAGGAAAATCTAGATGACCCCTATTCTTTCCATATCTCCAGGATCTGGCCTCAATTGGCTTCAAGTAGGGGGGAAAAAAAAAAAAGAGGGGAAAATCTTAATTCAAGTTTCACCTACCCTGCTTGGTGGAATGGCTGCGCAGATTTTCACGCTGGAGAGTTCCATCTGTCTGGCAGAAGCTGCAGTGGTGTTGGGGGCAGGTTATCTGGTGAAGCAGGAATGTACAGGAACCCCGCCCTCCAGGCACAGTTATACAACCCCAGCAACCCGTCTCAGCCAGCTCTAAAACCTCTAATGATCTTCACCTTCACCCTTTGTTAGCCTATTTCTCCAACAGGCATTTACTTCCAAACACAACTAGCCACTTCAGCTATTTATAAAATTGGTTTCTCAAAAGCAAAATTATTTCAACACAAATTCCTCAACAATGTTGGAGGAAACACAGTTTTTAAAAATCACATTTATATATTTAGAGCTCTAAATATATTTGATTTATCCACCTATTTGGGTGAAATATCCACCAACTTAAATATATACAACTATACCAATATGCTACATGACTCATTTTCTTTTTGTCTCTCTACACTTGATTTTATGCAAGTCATATAAACCACACGAAATCTTCCATGGCCATAAAGATACTTGTGCTCAATCTTGCTAGTTCTGGACTTCATGTTCACTTGATTCCCAATTTTGTAACAAGCTGAAGAAACATATTTGGAAGAATTCTCTCCCTGCTCTAGTTTAAATCCTTTTCTCAATGCTTTATATATTAATGACTTGTATTAACTTTATACCAGACAAATTCAAGCAAAATATCTGAAACTTGGAGATAAACTGCAATTTGGGGTTTCGAGTTTTAAGTTATGATCATTTTCAGTTCCAAAATCTCAAAAGGAGCAACCTTCATCTCATTAAAAATAATTATAAGTCTAAAGAAGAAAAGCTTCAAAAAGTTTTGAAGTGTTTTTCTGGCATAAGCCAATTTTAACTGGCAAAGGTTGGTGACAACAAATATCAACACAATATTACAACCAACTTTTTGCAAAAAAAAATCTATTAAATGACATGCTAGAATACTGTATGCTTTTGAAAAAGATAAATTGAGAGATGATAGGACAGACGGAGATAAATGAAATGTTCATACTGGGCTTCAGGAGGCCTTCACAAATTTCTCTCTCTGTATATCCCCCTCCCTATTTTGTAAGCATATTCAACAAGCTATTCTTCTAGTCACATCCATTATATATGTAACTTGGAGATGTATCCGAATAGAACTTCCACTCCAGTCCTTAGCTCCTATGAGTTCAAAGAAGTCAATTTTATGCTTGACCTCAAAATGAAAAGTTTGCCATTGAAATTCTATTTCTCAATCATGCAAATGAACATTTATCACAAATAAGTATACTTATTTAATATGGCCAGAAGGAAAAAAAAAAAAAAACTCGTGGAGGAACTTTTCTATGTCTATGTCCCTTTGCCTCAATAGAAGAATTCAACTTTCTTTTTAACTTTTGATAGGCCAAAGACTATTTCTTCTGTGCCAGTACATTCTCACTTCCACAAATAAAATCCATGGTAAAAGCAAACAATACATCATCACCTTTTTCAGTCTAAACACATGCTTTTCTTTGAGCTGTTTTGGTTCACAAATATGTAAGGGGATTTCCCTTGCTTAACCTCATTCACTTGGACTCTACTACTATTTTTAATATCAGCCACAAATTTGGTTTCTAAAACAATTTATTTGTGGAATTTTCTTTCATGCTTCATTCTGAAGAAATGTTACATTTCAAGAAAGTTGGACCTCTGGTGAAACTGCTCTCATAACTAAGAAAATAAAATCATGTCCAGTCTGCTTTAAGGAGATAATTAAACTAGCTGTCTTGGTCTATTTTAGTCGATTTCCCATTTGTGTATATTTGGTTCCAGATCTTTTAATTTTCCTGGACTTTAACTTTCTTTCTTAAATAGCATTTCTCTCTTTCTCCTTTCTTTTTGGTAGTGGGAGATGCTCCCGCCCCCACTAAAGATCCTCTTTCCCTTTCTTCTTTCTCTCCCTCTGTCTCTCCCTTCCACAACCCACCCATCCCTATGCCCTAATATTAACTATTCTGCATTCCTATTTCAATCTATTTGAGTCAGCTTGCTTCTCTCCTAGGCTTTTTTTTTTTTTCCTTCTTCTTCTTTTTCCCTGAGCAACTCTCTAAGTGTTTGCCGATAACATCTTGGGGACAGATTATTTTTCATTGGGCCCATTGTAAGAAGTAGCCAGCTTATTGCATTACTGCAGAACACATTTCAGACTATACAATTGTAACAAATGAACAACTTGTCCTCCACAGACTCTCCACAGGATCCAATTAGTTACTAAATCTTTTACTTAGGTTTTCTAATTATTTTCTGGAGTCATAGCAATTGGGATACTGAAACAATTCAAAAAATGTTATCATTTTTGTTTCAGATTGATATATATGCATATATGCATGCATATGTATATTGTAAGTTAAAACAAAATTATGACTGTAAGCAAAAGGAACAAATCTCTAGATTAAATTATACAGACATATTTAAAAGGGAATCAAATAAATACCTCTATGTTGTAAAAATGAAAGAAAAGGAGAGAGAGAGGCATTTTACGTCTTCTGAACATCTAGAATTTTAAGTTGTTATAATTAAAAATAAAATATAAACATTGATCTGCAAGTCATTACAACAGGTGATCACTTCAGCAAATCTATATTGCAACTTCAGCACATCTTTATTAGAACTCTTTCATTGTGGGTAAACAGCCACAAAAATAAATGCTGACTTAGAAAGTATAAATACAAATATTTAAACAAAAATATTTGCAGCATTCATAGCGCAAATTGTACCTGAACTGAAGGGCTCTGTGTGTCTATATATATATTACATATGTGTGCATTATATTTACTTCTATCTAGCCATATACATATATTTATTTATAATTTGCCAAATGCTATAAACAAGATACCTGAAACAAAATATATAAAAAGTAAGCATTCTATCAACTGATTTGAAAATAAACACAATGTAAATAGCTATGCACATAAAAGTAAATTATTGGTTGTTTTTTTTTTTTTTTGGCTGTATATCTACAGAAACTTGAAGATTATCAGCTGCAAAGCCTATAGTTTCTTTAAAGCTAGTGTTTATTCAATAGGCCTGCTCCTTGTAAAATTTGATTCCACAATGGAAAAAAATACTATTTTCATTTTTAAAGTCTCGGTTCAAATGAAAGGAGCAGTTAAATTTTAGTTGGCTGAAAAAGCCTTTTGAATTCCCTAGAACTTTAATGGTCTTTTAAAAATTAGCTCTACTTAATAAAAGAGACAAAAGTATCAAGATATATATGAATTTAGCCTATTTTTTATTTCTGTGTGTTCATAGTAAACATTTTTGTAAGTGACAAACACGGGCATATGACCACAGTATCACAATCAAGAAATTTTAAGACAACATTAACAATCACTCAAATCGATGCGGCATTTGCGCAACACAGGTTACATATTTGCAAGGTTTTACCTATAAGTACAATAGGTATTAACATTTCACTACATTTAGAAAAAATAAAAGTGACCTGTTAGTGACCACATACATCAAAATATACACAACACAAACTGAAGGCAATCATTAATTTTGTCCCCTTCCGATTCATTTGAATGGGCAGTGCTGCCAACTGAAACAACTTTCCTTTTTTTTTTTTTTTTTTTTTTGCTTTGTTTTTTAATACTTAGCATACCAAGTGCATTTTAGAACCCAATCTTTGGTCTAAAAGTAAACAAAAGAAAAAAAAACCAGTTTTTTAAAGAAAAGGACAAAACAATAAATGGCCAAAATAATTTCTTGGGCACCTTTACTACGAATGCTTCTTAAATACAAATTACAGTTTAACATTTTAAAACTCTCCCCGTAATTTAGGTTGTTCTCAAGGTCTGCGTCCACCATAAAGATCCATGATAACTTATAATACTGCACACATGGAAATCTGGCGGCTCTTAGAGATAGACTTGTCAGGTTTGAATGAAATGGCAAAGCAGTCACTATTTAGATACACATTCTACTATAATTTTGACTTCCAAACCTTATATTCTACAATGTATTCTCCCCACATTGCACCTCGCTGACACTCCACACCTTGTTAGAATAATAAACGATCCTAAAGACTGAACAAACGTACAGAAATGGGGGTGGGGGGTGGGGGTGGGGGCTTAATAAAAAATACCTGGACTTATTTTTTAATTATCATTTACAATGCAAATGTGTGTAAAACGTTCACTTACAGTCTGGTCCCAGGGATGTTAATGTATTAAAGGGTTGGAAGAAGACCCCTGATTTTGATGTGTGAAATAATCAGACAGTCCCCCGGACAGTCCCGTCGTGAAACTTGGCAAAGAGGGTCTTAAAGACTCACAGGGCAGGGTCGAGGGGGCCTGCGGAGATGTGGAGGACGACGCGGCCCGGGCGCTCATGGACGTGCTGCTCTGCGAAGTCATTGACGGGTGCGGGACGTGGGGGAAAAAGTAACTGGTCTGGCCCGCGAGCAGGTTGACGGAGCAAGGGTTGAGGGAGTAGGTCCCGGAGCAGGGCACCGACAGGCCGCAGGGCACCGAGGCAGCGAGGGCGGCGGCCGTGAGGTGGTGCGTGGCGTACGGGATCTCCCCGTTGACCAGCCGGTCCACGCTCAGGCCGTTGGCCGTGGAGAACGAGTGGTTGTTGCCCAGCGAGTTCTGAGTCAACACGGAGCTGTAGGGCATGGGGTGGCTGGGGTAGGCCGACGTGGTGCCATTGTAACTCAAAGTGCTGCTGGCGCGGGGGTGGTGCAGGGACAGGAAGGGCGACATGGGCCAGTAGAGGGAGCCGGCGCGGTCCATGAAGGTGAGGCCGGTGGAGGTGAGGCGCGCCCCGCGCTTGAAGGCCAGCTTGGCCCGCGACGTGGTGGAGCGGCGCCGCAGCTTGCCCGTGGTGCCGCCGATGAACACGTCGTCGCTCGACGGGTCCAGCATCCAGTAGTTGCCCTTGCCCGGGTCGTCGTAGTGGCGGGGCACCTTCACGAAGCACTTGTTGAGGGACAGGTTGTGGCGGATGGAGTTCTGCCAGCCCTGCTTGTTCTCGCGGTAGTAGGGGAAGTTCTTCATGATGAACTCGTAGATGCCGTTGAGCGTGAGCCGCTTCTCCGGGCTCTGCCGGATGGCCATCATGATGAGCGCGTTGTAGCTGAACGGCGGCTTCTCGTACTTGCCGTTCTTCTTCTCGCCCTCCTTGCCCCCCTCCCCGTCCTTGCCGCCCTCGCCCGCCCCCTTCTTCTCCTCCCCCCCGGCGCCGGCGCCCTTCTCCTTCTCGTCCGGCCCGACGGGCGCCAGCTCCCCGGGCCCGCCGCCCGGCTCGCCCTTGCCGCCCAGCCCGTCCGCTTTGGCCCCGTCCAGGGCGGCGGCCGGCGGCGGCGGCGGCGGCGGCGGCGGGAGCAGCAGCTGCTGGGGACCCTTGTCGTCGTCGGCTGCCGGGGCGCCCCGCGCCTGGGGGGGGGGCTGCGGTGCCTGG